GTGTCCTTGAATAAGTCCCTTCCCATGTCTGGGCCTCAGTTTCCTCATGAAGGGTTTGGTCTAGAAAGCTCTCTGGAAAGTCCTAGCTCTACCATTTCCTGGCCTCTAACCTCTCAGGTTCTACTGAGCAGGCTTGAGAGTAGCCAGGGAGGCCACCAGTCCTGTGACAGCAATGGCTCTGCCCAACAGAATCCAGCCAGCATGGAGTCCCTGCTGCAGGGTGGATTCCAGGATCTCCCTTGTATCTCCTGGGACCCTGGAACCAAGAGAGCCCCCTGGAGCCTCTCGCTAGGGCCTTGCCAGAGAAGGATGAAGTTCCTCTCTTAGAAGCCAGGTCTTCACCCATGGCCTCTGGGGAGGCTGGGAGGGACCAGTCCCTGGGGCTGCAGTGGCAGGCAAGGACTGAGTACACATAACTCTTGGGCTTTGGCTTTGGGAAGTATTTATTATGAGTACATCACCCAACTCAGCCCAGGTACCTGGGATGGAGCCTGGGGAGGCACACTGGGATTGGAGCCTCAGCATAACTTCTGATGAAGGTGATTCAGGAATTTTGCAAAAGACTAGCTTTAGTCAGTGATGAGGGAACAGCCAGGCCTTGGATCTACTCTCAAAGCAAAAAGAGTGCCCAAGAAGCCCAGCCACAGAGTCAAATTTCCCACACCACACCTCACAAGAGAAGCAACAGCTACCATTTATTGGTGCTTACTACATGCTAAGCATTCAAAATTTGTTTAAAAAAGGTGGATGAATGAATGTATGAAAGGCTTACTTTAGAATCAAGTTTTCAATCTGTGTATCCTCCATTTTGCCTCTCACATTTCCACTGCCAGTCAACACATAAGCACCCTTAAGAGCTAACCCAGCACTTAAAGGCCTCTGTAGAATGTGAGGTCCCTGGGAGCAGGAACCTTGTCTATCCTGTTCATCACTGTACCCCAGTGGCCAGAGCACTGACTGGCATATAGTAGGTACTCAGTAAATATTTTCTGAATAAATGAAGACATCTAGTCTCACTCTTTATTACCCAGACAAGGAAACTGAAGCCCAAAGAGGCAGAGACCTGCCTGTCCCTTGTCAAAAAGGGTCATGTTAGAGCTGGGACAGGTTCTCAACCCCCAGCCTTGCAGCACAGCAGCCTGGGGTTCTTTTGCCTGTATCAAAGGGCCCATGGCAAGCTCTCCCACCCTCTCATATCCCTTCACACATTCCTTGTCCCCC